AGAAAATGTGGCGCTGTGAAGATTTCCATGGCAATTAACTTGTGTTCAGGTGATACCGGGAAAATTGAAAATATCAATTCGACGAATCAATATCAACGATGTAAATTATTTTTCCAATCGAGTTCTATCTTTGCTCTGCAGAATTATTCAATTGAAAATTAACTCGCGTGCTTCAGGACGATCGTGATAATTCTAAATCCACAACTTTTGCGTTGTTCTCTGTGTAAGGATTCGAATATTCGATCATTCGACGAAAATGAATTCTGCTCTGTTATTTTGAGCGCTCTTCGCCCAAACTATATTTCTCTATTATTAGAAAATTGATCGAAAGTGAGAGATGAATTATTACCAATAAGCGCGTCCCCGTTTCAATATACTTTAATAATTTTTCCAAATAATTGAAAGTTCTTTTTTTTTTTTGGTTGAAGTTAAAATTCAATTATCCAAAATTTAAACCGCAACAAAGTTAAATTGCAACGTAGAAAAAGCTCGAAAAATAAAAATTCTCTATTAGTTGCTCTTTTAAAACAAATAGGCGCGATTGTATCGATTAAGCGAAATTTTTATGCCCTGGGGAATGACGCCGCGACGCCAACCAACTTGAAAATCGATAGTCGAAGCTTAATGACGCTAATGATATTCCACCAACGTACGTAGCACGTTCCACAAAGCTTCCTAGTTCAATTTATGCACGAAAAAGACTGCTACATTCTCAAACGAACGAAATCGATATTTCCAAGCGTGAATCATATCAACCAGAGAAACTGTATCTATGCAGAATTTTATTAACTGCAGCCGTGAGTTGAAAGATAGAGAGATAGAGAGAAAGAGAAAGAAAAAAAAGGAAGAGATAGGCAGATTGTCCAGAAGTATTTTAGATTGTAATTTCTATTCACGCTGCTAGATTGAACAATAGGCTTTTAGTAACAGCTGCCATGGACGCTAGTAAATTGATTAAACGAACGTTTTCTTCACGCATTCCCGTACCTTCATATTCCTGGAGTTTCATCTCGTTATTTTTTATGCGAATACTTGCAGCTCGCCAGATTGTTGAGTACTTAACCATCGAATAACGATCGTAATTTATTTTTCCACGTAAAAGTAGCTTGGAAAAAATATTCTTTGTCCCCGTTTTCTATTATATTACATTCTTAAAGTTTTGAAATTTCACTCAAAACGTGCACGAAACCTTTTTCGAAATTAGCAGATTCTGTTCTGTACGCAATCATATTTCGTCAGTGTGTATAATGTACTTTTGCCACAATTACGAGACACTGAGTGATCTCTCCGCTTCATTAGATATTAATTCATGAAAAACGTGAACACGCGTTATACACAAGCTTTCGATAGCCAGGCCACTGTATATATCCTTTTTAATCCTATCACGGCCGCTATCGCACTTAGCCTCATTTAATGATCCTAAATGTCTTGGGCTTCGATTTACGAGGTGCTAGCTCTGTCTTCCCGCGTATGGGTCCGGTCGTGGTAACGGCTCATCATCGGGAATAAATACCATTGTAACGTGGTATCCAATCTGGCCAGCTTGTGATTGAAACCGTGTTATAAAAGGGTTTATAGTCAACCGGCTTTTATTAAATTATTTCTCCTTTTCCAGACACGTCTCGTCAAATTCGTTTGGCCAAACTGTATCTCGCTTCAAGGTTCACGCGTATACGTACATCACGAATGAAAATATAGAGCGATCATAAAATGAATGAGAGCTGAAATATACACGTTTCGATTGTACGTTTCTTTGCAGAGGTAAGGATTTTGGTAAGTGTTTTTTTAGAATGCGACCGATATCAATTAACGAGGAACGATATCACAATAACGATGCAATCGCATGGATCTTTTCTATGAATTGGAAAAATACTATAAACATACAAGAAGGTTAGGTCTATTTTGAAAAACAGTTAACGAGCTCCAGGTGGGAATTTTCGTGTCTCTATCTATTAAATTTGTTCTAATGAAGAACGAAATTCCATTCGAGACAAATGTTTATGTTGTCTGTGCGCAACACATTATCGTAAATAATGACTATATCGATAAGATTCACTTTCGAAAGCTTTGATTTACCATTTTGTCGATACACTGTTTGACTGCTGTTTCACACGGTTGAAGGTTCTTCCATCTTCGAATGAGATTTCGCGTCAACCGGGAAAGATAGCGGCGTTCGAGCGAATCCCAGCGTGAAATTGTTGGATGATTAAAGTGGCCGGAGATCGGTTTACCGGCTCTCCGTCGAATTAAACGAGACACTTCGAGTTTAAGGGATGATTCAAAGTTTCAACAGTTTCATTACACCTTGTGTTCATCCGCTCTGAATATCTCGAGTGGGTAAAATAGTAGATAAGTGAATTCAATTGACAAAAGTTCAGTTAGTCGGATATTAAATAAAACTTCCTTCCAACAAATAGAGTCCAAGTGAGTGAAATCCTGCTTCTACTTCTGCAGTTCTACTTCTATTCCCAGAATTCTACTTCCGAACAATCTATTTATTTAAAAACAGAATAATATTTTCGAATAATTTCTACGCTTAAAACTCCGATTTTATGACACGTCGTTGAACCACTGACGATGATATAAATTTTTAAAATCTGGAGCAGGTTCTTACGTACGGCCTTAATTGTAGTTAGATCATTTAGTGACCTTACTTAACGCTTTACGACCTTACTGAATTGTATTTCGCCTACTGCACCTATCGTAAACTGTCTCAAAGCTGAATGACGTCAGATCAATTGGTCCCGACGACTCTTTTTTTAAGAAAAATGTGCATTATTGCCTACGTACACATTGCTAAGGCGATAAAATCGGGAGAGAAATTTCGAGAATGTAATGAGTGAACAATGGCCACCTTGAAACTATATCAATTGCACTCGAGAGGCGATGAATCGTAAATTCACGCGAACTATCCTTTGCAAGCATAAATTTGCTTAAATTCCTTTGCCAGAGGATTGTATACATGTTCGTGTGTAAACACGAGCTTGCATTGTCTTTCGTGGATCGAGGGACGCCAATAATCAAGTATGCTTTTACTATTATGCAGCTTACAAAAGACCCTTGCCTATAGCAAAGTGCCTGAAATACTCGAGTGTATCCTTTTTCCACGACATTCGCGAGAATGCGCTCGCCTGGATTTATGTCGGCGCCTACTTGATTAAATTAACCGTACAAAATGCTCGCACAATTCCTTTGAATATCTTTCAGTTGTGTTACATCCTTTAGGACGTTTTCGTTCCAACCATTATTTTTATTGCTAGGAAATTGGTTAAATATCTTAAGGTGAGATTCTCTCGTGTAACAACAACAGGAGTAGTGATTATTATGAATTTTTTTTTTAATCTAATTATCGGTTACATGGTAAATAGTAGAATTTTTTAAGATGTAAATAGATAGTTTTGAAGTACAGATATAATTTGTTTACTTTATTTTTAACTTAATGATAATTATTTTTCGGGTCATTATTATTTCCTTCCTCTACGTTGAGGATGTCTCAATATAGTCGTCTTTGTCCGGATAATCTCCTCTAAATTCCTGTAATCTTGGCCCTTTTGCAACACTAAACGCAGAGGGAACATTGCGACACATCTACTATCGTTGCTATTAACAACCAAAGTTTCGCTCAAGCTCCTCCTACTCATATTTTCTACGATACTGTACCTACTCGCGTAGGAATTTAGTAACGCATAATTGATATTGCTTTCCACGGAATTAAGAAATTTCCAGGTTCTCTTCTCTGATGGATTCTCCACATTGACTTTGTTAAGGATTAAGATGGACTGAAACATTTGGTCAAAGCGAAGAGAAGCATCGTTAGCTGGAAAATCTGCTACCGGAAGCGATATCGAATAGCGGATGAAGTTATAAGCATCTAAGCAACTCGTTACGGTGGAATCATGCTGGCACGATAGAAAAAAGTATTACCACGAAAATCCACGAGTTCGGTTAACGAGGTCACCCAGCACCGCCGTTAATGTTTTTCACGCGACAGAAATGCACTCTTTTATATTCTCTTTCTTTCCGTGAATCGTGAATTTTTATTGATGGCAGTTTTATATAGTGTACGTGAAGGTATAAGCAACGGAAATCTCATTAGACCGCTCTTGGCCCATGGTATCCAAGTCGTTTCGAGTTGCTTGTTAAAGTGCCGCAAGAATGTCGTCATCTCCTTGTCATCCTCTTATACATATACTGTTAGCTCAGCTTGCAAATAGATAAAAATCCATAACTGTTATAAAACTCTGTAAGTGCAATAATTAAAGTTCTGGTAATTCCAACTAAATTTTGCCTATTCTCGATTACTCGACTTTCCACATGTTCCATGTTCTGAAATATACAAATATTCTAATACGGCTTGGTTCCGAGCTATTCTGATTGAATTTTATTGAACTGAACGGTATTCTACCGTAACTGATTCGCAGAGATGCATCTCTTTCAGAATTCTCCATTCATGACTATCCGAGAGATTCGCGCACTTTCGGATGAGGCATTATCTCCACATAAACGGCGAGCGATCTTCAAATTGCCTTAGACCGCGGATCTTTATGCAAATTCATGTTGTGATGGACAGAATCAACGAATACGTAATCTAAATTGAGATTTGTTTCCCGTTGCAAATATTACAACGGCTACTTTACTACCACGTATTTGAATATCATTGAGTTCATCCCCGTTAACAAATAGAATAAATCAATAAACTATTGTGAAAGGCAGCATCATTCTCTCGTATCAATGGAATGTCGAATGCAATATAAATAAATGTAGATAACATTTCCTTAACATATACGTAAAATTCATCTTCCTTATCGTGTTCCCATAGCATTTCCCTAGAAGAGACACTTTAGCTCTCAGCCATTCCGAAAAACACGTATTTCCAGCGTGCAATTTCCTTGAAACCAGACGTTTCCATGCCCACGGGGATCATTTCCCCATTTACCTCCGTGTTCCGCTCTATTTGCAGAGAAACTTTCACTAACGCGAATTTCTTTTACAATTTCCAGGGCACAAAGATTTGAGAAAGGAAGCTGAGCTGAAGCGTTTGCGGCTGTTGGCCACTGAAGACCACGATTAAGATGTGAACCACGACGATTCGTTTCCGCAACATACGGGACCACATTGTCTTTGTCCAAAGCAAGAACGAAATCGAACGTGTTCATGGCTCGGACTACGGTTTCCCCGTCTTCGCTCTTATTTTCGACCTCATGGACCACGCCGACCGTCTCGAACGTCCTCAAGGACACTTTCGGCATCGCTTCGACCACACATTACACGAGCATCGAAAAGCAAACAAACGCGGAAGAAAAGTACACGCCGTATGAAGATCGACCGGAAACATACTTCGTGCCAATCGTGTTCCTGCTGATTCTTGTGATCGGGCTTACAGGAAATGGCGTGCTCGCGCTCACCATACTGCGCCACAGTAACATGAGGAACGTTCCCAATATTTATGTCTTTTCGTTGGCGCTCGGAGATCTCTTGGCACGTGTTTATTCTTATTCTAGATTTATTATCGATGTTTTATCATCCCTAAAATTCTCTGCTCGTGAAAACGATCAGTCCCTTTTCTTTACCATGAAATTCCTCCCTTCGATGTTCACTCAGATATTTCCCTTCCCAGCGACATAGTTTCATAGAAGGTTCATCTCTTAAACTGTCTTCGCGCGATCGTTGCTTGTCAAACTATATGTGCGTTCAATGTAAGAAAATGTTCGTCATGTTCGAGTCAGAAAAATGTTCGAATACCATGACGAGTAAAACTTGTTCAATTTTTCTTACTGACTTGCGTAATTCGCAAATTTAGTTACAGACAATGTTTAAGCGATGTACGCTTGAAAACAGACTATTCAAACCTTTCTTTGTGACAAATATCGTGTATATTGGCAGATCGACGACCATAGTTCCCTACGAGCATATAGCTTTCAGCCATCAAAAGATCAAAAGGAAAATGGTCGATGTTAATATTCTCAGTTGTAATTATCACAATGTTTTATCGCTCATTCGATCAATTCTCATGTAACAAACATCTCCTCGTTGACTCAGGTAACTCTACCATAGGGTTATTCGAATTATTTTCTCGTTTCTGATGTCTTTTTTTTACTCGGTCTAAAGCGTATGATATTTTCTCATTCTTTCATTAACATATCAAAGATTAACAGTACGTCATAATAGACAACGAGTCTACTCTATTATTCTATGCAAAATTCAACATTCAATTTTAGGATGTTTGGTTGATTCAACTAACTAACCCTTGCTATTACAGACAGTTCTCGTTAAGCTGAGATTCCTTCTCTTCTTCAACAGTTTTCTGTTTTCATTTCAAAGAAAGAGTATCAGTAGAAAGAGTGCACTTATCGGTGCACAATGAAGAGTCTCAATGAATTCTTTCCTTAGTCAGTCGAAATTTTATTCAGCTTGGAGGCTATTGTTCGAATAAAAACGTTATTGACGATTCTTTTCTGAGACAATGATTCGATATTGCGCTGCAGGTGATTCTTACGTGCGTACCATTCACTTTCACCGTATATATCGTGGATTCTTGGCCTTTTGGACTCGTGCTCTGCAAGGTTTCCGAGTGCGCCAAGGATATCTCCATCGGAGTTTCTGTCTTCACTCTAACGGCACTATCCGCGGACAGATTCTTCGCTATCGTCGATCCGATGAGAAAGCTCCACGCCTCGGGTACGAGCTTCGATTTCCCATTTTCCCATTATTCTGAAATAGAGATCTTCGCGATGAAAAGCAAGAGCACGGAAAACGTTCGAAAGCTTAAGCGGCTATTCTACCTATTCTAATATGATATATTATAATAATATTCATCAGAAGACATTTGTAAATGTCACCGAAACACGAACAAATACATGTACAAAATATCCAAGGAAAATATTGTACAATTTCTCTGCACGAAAGCACGAAAGAACAGCTAAAAATACTTCAAGTAGGAATAACAATTTTTCGCCATCTCCTTCGTTTAATTCAATTCAAATAATAAATGTGTAAATGTATAAAAATAATGGAATACGGAAATAAGGATAATCGAAGTTAAACAAAGTTTGATAGTCGATTTTGATAACACATATATTCTTTTACAAGATCCTCGTCTCGTACTGAGAACGTTTTCCGCATTTTACGCCGCAATTTAATATTCCGTGGGTGGAACTATGTGCGCACCACGGATACCAAAGGAATTTATATAAAGTGAAATACGCGAATTTCGTTTGCTCTTGGATAGAAAGATATTCTATGGTATCCGCAGTGCGCCATGAAAAGAAATACTCGAGCGAATATGAATACAGATGTGATCGATGAAATCAGTCGTTTCCGACTTTTACTGTTCAAGGTACAGGAAGGCGAGCAACGCGTTTCACGGTGATCGTCGCTTCCTTGATTTGGGTATTGGCCATTATGTGCGCCATCCCGAGTTCCTTCTCCTACATCAGGGTTTTCAAAGTGAACACCAACGTGACCTTTCAAGTGAGTTCGACTAACATCCATAAGATAATTAATTTTATCGTTCGTGCTTTAACGATCGATCGACGAAACGTCTAACACGATTTTTCTCCATTTATTCCTTTCCAATTTCCTTTGCTCGGCATCATCAGACAACTGCTGTTCCACTGTATTGTCCAAATAATTTGCACTCATCTGATCGATTCGAGGGAAGGTTTTTACATTTGTTATATGGTGTTCAATTTAAAGGCCTGCTATCCGTATCCCGCGGAGTTTGGACCGAATTATCCGAAGACGATTTTGGTCTGTCGGTTCTTCATATACTATGCTGTGCCGCTTAGTATTATTGCTTTCTTCTACATTCTTATGGCCAGACATCTGATTCACAGTACTAGGAATATTCCTGGCGAAATGCAGTGTCAGGTGAGTGGAAAAAAAGTTTTAAAGGTGGGCGATAAAAATGACCATGTTTTATTTTTGCAAATGAAAAGTCGAAGAGCTCATAATTAAACTGCAAAGAGACAAAAATTTGCAATGGTAGTTTTCGAGATGAACTGCTCGATTTACGCAAAACGTTAAATGAACAAAAATTGCTATAATCGTTTAACCAAAATGTAATAGGAAAGCTAAAAAAAAAAGACAAATTGCCAACAAACACGAGGATGTGATAGTGATCGAAGTTATCTTCTTTCAAATTTTTCATGTTCAACTGAGGACAAAAATATTCAAACTCTTGAATTGTTTCAGAGATAAGCGATACGCTTTAATACAACAGCTAGAAGTCCTATTAAACTCGATGAATATCAACTCGGTTGTGAACACAGGCCGAACTTCATTGATTCCTCTCGACAATTTTCGCGTTCCACGAACTTGGAACTTAATACACAACCAGGGGACTCGTTTAAAGTTGCCAAGAAATATTTACTCGTTTCAGTAAAGTTGTAGCAAAGTCAAGACGCAAAGTTTTCGGTTATCAAAAAAATTTATTCAACGAGAAAGAATATAAAAGAAGGGGTCATATTCTTTAATAATATCGTACACGAATTTCAGAAGTGTCACAATTCGAAACAATTAATTTCCATATTGGAAGAACGTTACGAGAAATTACAAAAATAACATTCCATCGAATAATATTAATACGATAATTTTGATGAAATAAATTTCTTTCTTAGAGTTTATTCTACTTGCTAAAATTATTTGTCTAATAAACAATGTCTCGTAAGTTTCAAAATAATTTCTCGTGCTTTCTGTGAAACTTTTTTGAGTTCTGTCACTTTTGAAGTACACGCGCAATATATTTTGTATCACTTTGAAACTCGTTTGGTTACAGCTAAAGCAGGTGAAAGCTCGTAAAAAAGTGGCGAAGATGGTGATGGCGTTCGTGATCGTTTTCGCAGTATGCTTCTTCCCGCAACACGTGTTTATGCTATGGTTTTACATCCACCCAACCGCCCAACAGGATTACAACACATTTTGGCATTATTTCCGGATTCTTAGCTTCTGCCTGGCATTTACCAATAGCTGCATTAATCCTATCGCGTTGTACTGCGTGAGCAGCACGTTTAGAAAATATTTCGACAGGTATTTTCTGCATTGGCAAAAATATTATTCTATAATTTAAGAAATATACGATCGATCTATTTTTAGTTTCATAACGTTGCTTTATCAAAATGTACAAAAAGTCAGTTCCCATTATTTCGAGTAATATTATTCTCGTTTCGCAAGAAATTATCGTTCTTTCGGTATAAAATATTGGAAAAGAAACTAGGAAAAATATTTGACATCTGGCGCATGACTACGAACCGATCCAACCTATTTCCATAAATTTTCAAGAATCCGATAAAAATTGATCGATTAACGCGATAATCAATGACGTTTCGCATCAGTTAATCACTATATGCAACCACAATTAATTCGTTACGTATTTTATGCTCCTCTTTAAAAATCAATCCTGGCTCAACTCGTGAAAAATTATAAAACGAATCGCTCGTTGTCATGAATATTGATTGCCGGATTGAAATATGGTTTCGGATATACTATCGGACTATCTCGTTTATAGCGATACTCCGAACCTATCCAATTTACGATTGAACGCTCAATCATATATATTTCTCAAACTTATTCTTCCCAATTCGACGTGCCAATAATTTGATCGAAAGTTAAAGATACATTAATAAATAAGAAGCAGCACTTACTAACTTTTTATGAAATTATAGAAAATTGGATTTTATCTGAAATTATAGGAGATGGAAATTTCTCACGAAATTACATGAAATTTTGTTTTCATGAATGTTTATGAAATTATATGATATTCCTTTATTAGGAATTTGTATGGAATTATATGAAATTGATATTTTATGAAATTTTCGCAGTATCAATTTAAATCATTTATTAAAAGACATAATAATAATGATATATTTTATTATTTATATTATTTTTTAAATAGATATTCAGAATTAAAAAGTAAAGGGAAAAGAAGATAGAGATAGAGGTTTAGTTTTTAACAATAATTTGCATACTTTCATCTCTAAATACATTCCAAAATTTATCACTCGTAAAATCCCTCATGAACGAATTAATACGATTTAACGAGCAAGCAAAAGTAGACGAGTATTTCGTCTTCTTCTTGTTAACTTTAAAGAGCTAACATTATTGCAGCCAACTAACAGACTAAAGTCGTTAAAGTGTAACAAACTTCGTTGCAGGTATCTGCTTTGTTGCGTGCCGAGAAGGATCCGCAGACGGCGTCGTTGTTCGTCGGACTTGAGCTCCCGAGGACGAGGTCAAAGTTTCTCGTTGATAAGCTCCAAAAGGTACGATTCTCGACGCGGTCAACGAAACACCATGCACATGTCCATCTTTGGAAACGACACCAGGACCAGTGGCCCGATCAAGGAACAGGAGACGACCATTAGTCTGACCGCGTGTCCTAACGGTATCGAGGATGGACTGAAAAGCCAGCAAAATTCCACGACGGAGCAGTCGAACATTCGCGAATGTTCGTTAAACTCCAAGGACTGAATAATTCAGCGATTTTTCAGCAACCAATGATCACGCCCGTGTGTATTCTTTTCATTTGGAAAACACTATTCGTGTCGATGGTCCAATAACTCTTAAGCGAAGATCACAGGCGAAAGATACATTAAGTCGCATTTCTCACATTTCTCGGGAGAATAATTTTGAAATTCTGTACATTGTTAGAAATTCGATGTCGAGACTAGCTCTTCATTTAGCTCTGGGATTAATCCATTAAGAAGCAATATTTGCTATCGCTGTCGATCAATCTATTTATTGAATTTCCTTCTTTAATATTATGGCTGTGAAGGGGAACTCTAAGAATTTCCTTGATACCTCTTTCGTCGTTATTTATTGCATCCAGAAATATGAAACAAATGCTTGCAGTTCCTTTTTGCGAAAATCACAAAATGAATTTTATAGAATTCAACGTTGGATCTTAATGGATTAAATCGACCAAACGGCTCGACATCCTAAGTTCTCCAAAGGCTAAAAATCTTTGAATCTATCAAATTATTTCCTTCCTTTGAAGATTTCATATTAAGATTTCATATTTAAGGGATCCTTTTAGCCACTATCTAGAAGCGGCATAAAAACATCAAAAATGGACTTATCATATTTTTCTCCCACATTCTTAAAGTCTTAAGCTTTAGCTCCAATTTCTGAGAGAGAGAGAGAGAGAGAGAGAGAGAGAGAAAGAGAGAGAGAGAAGTAGCGATCGTCCATAACTAACACATCTGTCATTTCCTGTAAATCTTCGTCGAATATCTTGTCCCTCGAATGCACCGATATCGTCAAAACTATAGCGCTAGACAATTATTCTGTGAACTCGTGTGAAAGTATGATTTGCAGGTACAAAGACTGCGACAGTTGTACGTTTAGAGAGCACCGATTTTATGAATAAAATTCTGACAAGTAATCGTCGACGTTATTACCTAACCTCCGTCGTTTTTCTATTTTCCTTCCCAACGTTTACAAAGCGAGGTAAAATGGAACGAAATGAAAACGAAATAAAAAGTGATCGACCCATTAATTTGATTTGAAGACCCACGTATCCAGCTTCATCCGATATCTCGTGCTTTCATCTCGTTTCATCGACAATTTGATATTTGATCGCGGACAGTATAGAACGATCGAGGAAATACTCGCGCGTTACTGTCGTTCCTGCACAAAGTGTCGTTTAAAACTCAATATAAATCTAACTGCAGGGCATTGGGGGCAGCAACGGGCATCGATTGCTCTCTGGACAGAAACGAATCGTTTTCTCGCAGGATTTGTCGTCGCTGCACGCTCGGCACAAGAATCGACTTCGAAAGTCGTAGAGTCTTCTGACATTCTGTGTCGTAATCACTTTCCCATTGCACAATCGTCTTGCAAGCTGAGAGAAATGCCCGACAGTGATGTATTCAAACGACTACGACGATGGCACACTTATGAATTCTTATATTAGATGGAGCAAGAGGTACAACACGCCCATTTCACTTTCCTTCTCGTTTCTTTGTTTCTTTCGTATTTTTCGTTGCATGTTCCCGATGCTTCGCCGTATTTGAAGAGCGACAGGCTAATTTAACGGATCGATTTTACGAATTCCTCTGTGCAGACTGGCCAGACTCCATCAACGTACTCTACGCATGTATCAGGAGAACGAGTATATGCATCGCGACGACAAAGGTCCGTAACCGAATCGAGCTAATTTCAATCTTCCGTTAATACGTAACTAGGTTAAAGACCGATCCAACCGTACTCATTACATTAGCGTAATCAGGCCATTGTTTGCACGATACGACGGTAAATTACACCTCATGTCCTTTATTCGTGGCAGTTCTAGTTCTGAATTTTTGAGCAATATAGAATCTGCTAGAGGAACTACGATAAATGAATTGTTTCCTCGGGAAAAGTTTAGTAGCGAAAGCGGGATGAATGAAATCTGTCCTCGTGAAGAAGTTAGAAGCGGAAACACAATGAATGAACGAACTTTGCATTCATCGAAAATTCCCGAAGTATAGTTACAAGGGATAAACGTGATTTCTCTTCGTCGAATAACGCTTCCAGAAGCGTTAATTTCTTTTTGTATAAAAATTAAAAGATTTTCGAGGAAAAATTTAAGACAGATTTCAAAGATATATTGCATTCTAAATTTTTATTACACCTTAAAATCCTTTTATGTATTGTATACTGTTATCGACAAAATACCTATAAATTTATCAAATTAAGTAATAAAACGCGTAATCCCAGAAATGCTGCGCTACGGAAAAATCTCGGATTATGTAAATTGGAATTTAGCATACGGATCAGTACAAATATTATTAGCGACGAAAGCTTCGTTAACTAATGTCTTTATTATAAATATGATATATCTGATCTATTGATTGCGTCGTAAATTAATTTTGCTTCCGCTGTCGATCTTAGAATCGATAAAAGTACTTTTGCTTCGTGAAAAATTCGCTTCGCAAACCTAATGTTAATTGAATTGTCGAAATATTCTATACTGTTCTAACATTCTTTGTCTCTTGCGTCTCTACGTAGTAGATTTGTACGTCTTTAACGTGACAAAGTTATAAACGACATTAGTTACCTCGTGAGACATGCTCGAAATTGTCGATGAAAATTAAATTCTATGTCGCGCACGTAGTTTAGATTTCGCATCCGTGTGGAGTATTTGCATTCGTTCGGTGTTAAAACCGAGGGAAATTCGTGTATCAGAGATGTTCCTTGCACCGAGCCCTAGCAACGTGGCGTCCATTTCTACCGTTAATAAAGGGAACCGTTGTGACTGTTTAATCTTCGAGCAGACAAACGATCTCGACAGAGAGCGAGGAGGTGAAAGCTGACGAGGAATTCTGCTGGAAATGCAGAGGTGAGACCGCAGACGCGGACGGCGACGCGGCCTCGTTCCCTCACATTCAAGATCTCTGTCCCGCTGACAGGAGAAGGATAGCTTTGCTGGTTAAGCAGTTAATTAAGTAAATTTCCTCTTCGGCCACTTTGTGTCACCATACATCCGTAATTAATACAAGAAGAAGTGTTTCCATTCATTTTCATTATCATCCTCTTATATCCCAGCAACGACATTTACTTCTTTCCCAATTTTTGTTCAAGCTTCACCCTTCAATTTCTCCAAATACTTTGTTCCTCAATTTTTCATAGAACACGTTATGGTACAGTCCAGGGAATTTTAGTAATTTTAATCTTTAATCGGTATGAAATAAGAAGCTTCGAAAATTTATTTTGGATTACACCCTCGTTTATAAGCATTAAGACAAGTAAGAAGAATAAAATAAAAAAACCAACAAAGTAAACCAACCTCAGTAAGAGGAATTAAGGAACTGATTTTGCGTAGAAAATTTTGTAATGAGATATAAAGTATATATACAGGATGAGTCACCTAGGAGTTTAAACTGAGATATTCTCGATACTGTTAATTATCTCGGAAAATGTTTCAGATAGAAGTCGAATGGTTTCTTAGTATATTAATCGATGCAGTTGTAGATTCTCAAGAGAAAATTATTAACTTACTTATGTCAACAAATTATTAGTTTAGTGGACATTTTAATTTTTAGTTCGTAAAACTTATCGTATGATAAACAAGGAAAGACGCGAGGAACTGCTACCGTATTTGGTTTTCTTGCCTTTCATACTGTAAGTTTTACGAATTAAAAATTAAAGTATCTAGTAAAAGAACAGTTTCTCGACATAAGTAGGTTTATAAGTTTTCATAGAAAATCTCCAGCTGCATCGATTAACGTATTAAGTGATATATAATTCGATTAAAAAAAAACAAAATTGATCTCCACATGACTTTTATGCGCCCACCTACAAAGAAGCTAATAACATCCCCTTGAAGCCATTCAATTTTAATCTAAAACATTTTCCCATATAATTAATCGTATAGAAAATATTTCACCTTAAAAATCTAATTTATCGTAAATAGTAGATCCAAAATATCCTGTCGTTGATATTATGAACTAACACATTGAAATAAATTGGTATTTATTTTATTATTGGCTCAGTATCCAACGTAAAACTAAAATCCATTAGAATCTGTCAACTACCAATTTATTAATCTCACAGAATAGATAAAAGATGATACCTGTAGGTATCTACAGAAACTGTAGAATTAATCTCAATTCCCTTCTCAGCCACTTTATATCGCCACGCATCCGCCATCAGTAAGGAAACCGACATGTTACCATTTATTTTGTCCTTTATATCTTAAGCCACGAAATTTATTTCTGCTTCAATTCTTGTTCGACCGATATTAGTTAACTCGGACCTTAAATAAACATCGATTGCCGCGACGAATAAATCTTTATCGTAGGATCATTCAAACACTTTGTCACCCCATTTTCATTTCTTCGTTTCTGTCGCGTTCATTTCGCTCTTTCATCGATCCTCAAGATATACAGTGCGAATAAATTACAGCGTGCGCGATTACTTCCTGCAGTTGGTAATACCAGTTGGACAGTAACGGAGAGATTTATCACAAGAACTGATTAGAGAGTCAGCGATGGCTATTAAAAGTTTGACCGTGTAATTCGTGTTGGGCGTTCGAAGATAACCCTTGGGAACGATCGCGCACGCCAGACCTGCATCAGTGATTAGTCGAGATTTTTCTGTGACAATCTGCGTACTACGAGTTGGACACTGAGATCTTAATTAAGATAATGACGATTATAGTGGCTCCGTTGCTTTTTGCTTGTAAAAACAAAAACTGGGAAGGTGGAGTTATCTGAGTCACCTAAGCTTCGATCTTTTATAATTTAATCTCGAACTTTACACAGAATAATCAAGCTTATTGTTCGCTATGAATCACTATTAGTCCTTATAAATAGCGTTTGCAGTAACGAAGAAATGAGAAAATATCGTGTACGCTTAGGTCTAACAAGAAAAAATATCAGAAAAAGAAAATACATATATATATATATATATGAAAAGTGATAAGTATAATTGTAAAAACTTTTTTCATTTCGATGAATGTATTACATTTCACTGTTTTCTTACGAGCGAGTTTAATAGTCTGGTTCCAAATGTGGATCGTTTAAAAATTGTTCGTAATCGGATTTGGCGAATTACAAGGCAAACTATTTATTTAAGTGGACTCGGATAGCCCTATCTTATTTGCCAAATAGCAATTATAGCGACTACATCGTGGAAATTCCGCTGTGCGTGAAAATAAAAGTTAGCAATTGAGAATTACGTAATTAACAAGGGGCAAATTAAGGAGAGAGAATTTTACGAGAATTTAACACGCGATCTCTTAACTTCACACGTACAAAATGGGAAAAGACCAAGTTTTCTCTCGTTTGCCGCGGTAAAGTAAATCGATCGGAGTTGAGACGCATTTCACGCTCAAGTTACGCGTGTAAATTGTCGCAATTCCCTGCGGTGTTTCAATATTTCGCGAAAAGATAGGTGAGTTTTTATGCAGATGCACCAAAGAAATGCGCGATGCCAAGTCCGAGTTGACAGTGAGCGAATCCGAGAAGGAAGCAATGAGGCTGCAGTACAAGAAATCCCTTGACCGCCGCGAAACCGAGAAGGAGCAATTAGAATTCCAAGTAACGCCAATTATTCTTGAATTTATGTTTTTCCTCTCCCTTTTCTTTTTTCCCTTTTTCTCATTTTCGTCGTTTATTTTTTACTTATTTTGATATTACAAATTTATAATGACGTTTAATGATAAAGGAAAGAGGTTTAATCCCTTCATAATGTACTCGAGTGATGAAAAATTCAGAATGAACGACTCAGAAGACAATTGGGAAACTTTATGAAAAAGTCACCTATGAATTTATGGTAGATATATTCGTAGGGACCCTTGCGCTATAGTCTTCGTACGCTGCGAACAAATATCTTACGATTAGGGAGACAAATAAAGTAGTGGTCGGTTTATTGGAACAAAAATCATCGAGTAAACTGGAGACATTTGTAACGAAAAAAAGTAGTGAAACTCAACGAGTAGATAGTTATATCTTAATCATAGTGAATGTTTTAGGATATGAAATTTCTAATACAATATGGTGAATTGAAAACCACAACGATATAAGTGAGGATACTGAGAATATGAATTTAATCACTTATTTCATTTCTTAGAAATATTCCTTCAGTTTTATACTTAATTAAGAAGCGAAGATACTGAGAATATGAATTTAATCACTTATTTCATTTCTTACAAGTATTTCTTCAGTTTCATACTTAATTAAGATATAATTTTACACTCTGCCGTGATACGTTAAAAGGTATAATGAACTTCTTATATTAATAATCGCGAACATTGTTCTATGAAAGATACCAACTCACTTACACCACTATGATTTCTATAATCTACCCAAGTCACTCCTGTATCACACTGTGAAAGATTTTGCTCTCTAATGAGAGAAAATCCAAGGCTAAAAAATAAGGGGCCAAGGGGAAGAACAAGAAAAAAAGTCGATTGTGATAAACAGGAATGTGGTGTGTAAGTTTTACCCATGTCGGTAATATGTGTCTGATAAGAACTGAGATATACGGTTGGCCCGTGAAAATAGGGTTTAACTATGGATTAGAGTTCCGATCTTGATTTGCAGTTGGTCAAGTAACTTTAAATCAAAGTTCTTCTTCGTTTGCTATACATATAACTTTATGAGTCTACCTACGGTGTATCGACGCGGTATAATGTAATGGATTGGGAAAACTTGTGCAAAAGGATCATGCTCTGCCAGCTAAGATATCGAAGCATCGATTCACTTTCTTCATTAACCGTGGGCCATAGTTTCAACTGAACTTTGAGCCATCAGGCCAACAGTACACGGTAGTCCCTAGATTGATTTCGCTTTATCCAACTGAAATTGTTTCGGATTCGTGCTCGATGCAGTTTAACTTCGACGATCCAGCGAGGATCGATATATTCCGCGTGACGTAATCTGCGTTGGTCGTTCGTTGATTGAAATGAAAAGAGACAAAAATGAATGAAAAGTAGAAGCTTAGTAGCAGAGGTTGATACGATGATCATTTGGTTTTGGTAGCGAAATTTTCACGTTTGCTATCTTAAGGTACCGTTAACATTCCACTTGCAATAATTTTCCATCGATTTACATTTTCACATGTCGAATACTCTCTTTTAGCATTCTAAAAATGTAAATATTTAGAAGGCAAACGTCGGTGTTGGCTCAATTGGCGGATCGGTGACAGTCTTACCTCTTTGAGCAATTTAACTCAGCCTGCCTCTGATAGTTCAATGAGCAACACGCTCATAGAGATGCCACGAAAGTCAGCAAGTTGGGAGTGCAAGAGGCAACTACACGCGTTTACAGATTGCCAATGTATCGAGACACTGAGTTGCGTGCTTGTGACAGGTTGTTTAACCAGAACGATCTATCTCTCTAATCTGCATCTAAGCATAGTGTACATAGATAACTTGGATTAAGTTTACGTTTTATGGAAATAAAGTAGATAACAAGAAATTGTACTTTGGTCTCAATTTTCAATCAAACATCAATTGTGCCAGTACATCTACGTGATCTTAGTAATTGGAAGGAAAAGAAAACTGGAATGCGTCGTTGACCGATCGATGGAAAATTACATCAACTAGCGTTTTTATTCGCTGGCTCATTTTTTCGTTAGTAAGACGTATCACAAAGTCTAGGAATACACTTTTCTCATTTTATTGGCAAGAAATGTTACACAGTTTGCAAAGTAACGCGAGAAAAATATAACGTAGAGAAGAACTTCTATTTTCTACGAGCATAAAGATCAAGTCGTAAAGTTTCTGAAATTTCTCAAAATAACAATATCCCGTGTCTTAGCTGCAACAACTTAACGGTTAAAACCGAGAGATTAAGAAGAGTTCAATCTGATATCGCGTTTCATGGTCTTTTATTAGTTGAACGAAGCGCGAGGCGAGGCGAAGGAATTGAAGACTCGAATTTCACATATCTTGGAGCTGTTGACGCTACAGATCGCCACCCAAGAAAAACAATTCCTGGAGCTCACGCAGACTGTCAAGGATCTGGTGAGGGAGAAATCGCAATTGCAGAATGCCCTGGCCGAGCAACAGGGAGAAACCGATGCTCTGAAGAGCGAATCTCAAAGAACAAGGGAACTACTCGAGGCGAAGAGATTGGAACGGTGCAAAGATGACGCGAGAAAGGTTCATCAGGCTTGTCAAACCGTGGACATTGAGATCACTTCGTAAGGAAACACTATAAACGGGTCGAAAACTGTAGGGTGGATTTTATTTTACGGCATAAATAAGAAAATTCCAGTAAAGTTTCATTTTTTCCTCTCGGCGAAGAAAAATACTGGTTTCTATAAAGTATGTTTATGTAGGAGATTGTAGGAAGAAAATGAACTTTACTCTCAAGTAGTGTGGTGAAAGATAAATCACAGACATAATACTCGTATATTTTCTTCAACGAGATTTTCATTTTTTTCACCAGAGTCTTGCACTTCTCGCTAGCCGCAGTAGGACTGATTTATCAGTCAAACTTTTTTTACAATATAATGTTTTATTTATTAAGTAAAGGATTGCAACCTATAAAGAGAATTATTCTACCTTTCAAATGTTATAATTAGCACTCTACTTTGAATATTTTCTATATTTTCGAATATTATGTGTATTCTATATACTTCGATCGCTGTTAAATGCTTAAATATCTTACTGATTTGTCAATGATTTAACTCGCATCACACCAGTTCAGACGAGTTTCACACGTTCACTTTTATTTCATTTAAAAGGATTAGTTGTAGTCTCGAATTTTACCGTAATATTATTTCGACAGCGGCATCCAGAAGGAATCGGATAAGGAGATCATCTCGTGTCCTCCGCAAAATGTACGTATCAAGGGTAAAAGCGACCTGGACGAACCTACCACAGAGGGAACGTTATTGAGGGAGCTATTCTTCAGGAAACCGAGCGTCGATGAAAGCGAAAACCTAGATATCATTCCGGTTCTGTCGGACACTGACTTGCAAGCCAAACCTACCAACTCTATTCTCTTCCCTTAATTTGTTATTGAAATACGCTCTCGTTTTAGTTCAAATCTTTTAATAAAAGTCCGAACCATTCACGCTTTATTTTCTTAATAGAATCACAAAATCTTATTCGTGGTAAAAATACCACGCATAGATATTCTCCCGAAACAAATCACCACATTTTATCCAAAAATCTCCACCGATTCCTGAGAAATTCGCTTTCAAACATTTTTCGGGAAAGCGTCGTACTGGCCGATGGTAAAAAGGAAATTTCTATATCGATAACACAGATGGTATATACCATTGATCAAGAAAATTTATTAAGGACACGATAGACGTGACATTAAATGGAACTTCGCGTTTTAGATTGCGAAATACCGACCTGTCAAAAAATCAGTGTTTCTTGCGCTCTCTGTGAATATAGGAATTATCACAGTTATCACTGATAGTCTTACCGACGAGATACAGAATAAGCGTGACATTTGTGATGGCCGACTACTGATGTTTTGCTGTTTTACCGATACGATTACTAAGAATTTTTGTATCTATCGCTGCTCCATATTCGAAACCCAAGGTACGCGAATGCGCGCTTTGTTCTCACTTTTGATACCAACAGCCATCAAAGGGAAAGTTGCACCTCCGCGTACGCCAAAATCCCTTCAACTCGTGCATTACTATCTCCACTGCGTTATCAATTTTTAGCGTTACCATCGTATTGTATTAGTAAAAGATTATATAAGATTTGTAATAGTTGTATCTATCGCACTATCTACGTCCGATAACATATAATTAATAACCGATTTGAGAGCACAAAGATGAAAATAGACGCACACTTTTAACTTCGTTTCATTTTTCTATTTTATTGCTGCAATGGTCTGTTAAATTGAATCGAATGATTGAACATTTAATTGAAATGTACCTGCTATATCTTCCATATGTTGCATTTCTTCTTAGGACTCATAGGGCTGCCCAGAGGACAGGAAAATGTAGCTGAGAAATCCTCATTGTTCGAAAGAGCCCCTATGGATCTTAATCGTCCAATACTATGTATGTCTAATTTGGCATCTGTGACTAACGTTTGGGAATCTCTGGTTTCACACCATAACTTAAAGAAAAAGAAGAAAAATCAAATGAAAAACAAACTAAAACATAAAATACATCGAAGAAATGTTTTATTTTTTATTAAAATGCGTACATTAGCAGACGATAGGAAGAAAATTTGATCATTGCTGAACATTTCCAAGCCAGGCAGTGTTGATTCTGGTTTGCCGTTTATTATTTCTCTTCGTTTGTACGCTTTAAACGCAGTTTTTAATCCCATGGTATCTGGCATATTTTCGTCGAAAGTCTGATTGCCATAATTCTGTTCGATAATTGACATATCAGTAATACTTATGTTTGATTATAAAATTCTTGATAAATATTTATCGCAATGATACCGTTGTCAATGAGATAAATCATTACCTTGATTTTTGGACCAGAAGATGTCCCATCTAAAGTATAGTTGTCGTACTGATCAACGAAACACTGAGCACTTTTATAGTATTGCTTCGTCATTTCATCTGGCCAGTTTATTTCCTCGCCACGTTCATTGAAAAGACGCCCTGAAAATATCTGTAAGTTAATAAAACAGTCGTAAAAATGATATAAATTTTGATGAAATAGAGCTACTTACTTAGCTCGTCAAATGGATGGTGCAATTCGTGTGCTAATAAAAACCCAGTCAACGCGTAATTAATCGTACTGAAGGAAAAGATATCGTAATTAAAGATTCAGTGACCGAATGAGAATTTAAAGGGAAATTTTTTTACGTACTTTGGTTGATTTCTGCTGAAAAATGGTTCCTGTAAATTCGCCAAGGGTACAGCTGTACAATTAGAAAAATCAAACCTTAGTGGCTTGATACATTACGTGTGTTTAATATATACATATAGCAAAATAAATGGCACTTACTAATTGAATTCGATTGGCTCAAATAAATTGCATTGAGAGTCAAAGGATCGATAATCCATCTATACATAAAAAAACAAATAAATGCTAAGCATTAAATTATAACAATACATAATTAATGTAAATTATAAGTTCAGATTAAATTAATTTTAAATACGAATATTTACGGTTCCGCTACATCTTTATACTTCAAAAGACGCAATTCCTTGAATTTATAATATCTCTGAACCTCCAATGCATTTTCAAAATACTTCGGTCCCATTGTAAGCTGTAAATTAAAGTTAAACCATGAAACTTTCTATTCTCAAGATTATTATAAATAAAAGATTGACAAACATTTGCAGAATAATTTTCCATGATAGTCGCGTTATTATACCAATCCGGGTAACCAATATTTTTTTTTATAAACTTAATTCTTCTTAAAGCCAAATCTTTTATCTTCTTGTTCGCCCAATTCGATTCTTTAATTTGTATCTTCATTTCCTCTTCTATGTCATCCAACGCATTCAATGCCTGATTTATCAGAAAACAAAAGTCTTATCTGTATAATTTAATCTGTCGATCTAACTTATATAATTCTTAATTTGCGCCCTTATTCTATCCATGTAAATGGTACGAGAATTTTACCGTTTCTATCATGTCGTCGGAGAAATATCTTCTTACGTATTCCACATGCGCTACGACTTTCGTTAATTCCATCTTCTTGATGCACCAGTCCGACCTACGAATAATTCGAAAATAATCGCGCCACCAGCAACCAGGTAATTCGAACGGCTAATTTAAATTAAATCACCGCCACGTGCAGCTACATACGTGCACGTCATAATCTTAATTGCGCCATATTCGTATTTTACTCGAGTCGCTGTTCTACTTTCCACAGATGCTTCAAATTTAACGTGAGATATTTTCTGATTACTTAGTGCTTTCTAGATTCTATGTCATTGGACTACGAACGCTTATGCAACTTCGTACAATCGAAGAAACAAGTTTTTAAAATTCATACAAGAAATCGGGTATTTGTAAATTTGTAAATTACAACATTTCTATGAAAAATTCCAAATTTAGAAGTTTTTCAGTTATGAAATTCCTATAAAAAACATAGAAAAATTATAATTAAAGAACGTAGAAAGAAGTTTGCTTCACTCGCTGAATATTACAAAGAGCACTGCACCGTGTTTATTTTATACATCAGCGTACATTATGTACGTTATGCGCATTCTTGCACTTTTAATCTTTCCACGCTACGTATACTTTAGTAAATTGTTAATTAATAAATTTAATACGATAAATAAATTCCGAGTGAAACTACTCTCAAATTTTAGTGTATTACGTGCATTAAAATTTCTTCTTCTCTATAAAACAAAATCATCCGAGTAGATGTATATCTATTATCAATAATTAGCAAAAATTAGTTTCTCCTACTAAAAAAGGTTTGCTTTTGAAAATTCATAACAATTCACACAAATTCATAAACATTCGCAGTCTATTCAGCATAAGTCAATTGTAATTCATTTCGATCAATACTCAAACTCTACATTAACTTCTATGTTGATTCTATTTTATAAAAGTTCTATAATCTGTTATACGAACCTGTTTTCTTGCACGTTTGAATCATTTCCAGTCATTTTCTCATCCAATTCCCTCATTTCGTCGGTAGTCTCTGTGATCATCGATGAAACGAAGCTCCAATGAAGGTAATTCACTGTTTGACAAATAATAAGTGCATGGAACAAGTATTGTGAACAATTATATTCGTCTTAAATCATTATGATTTTACCTATGGTTCTGCTTGGAGTTTCATCGAGTAAGGGGATTAATTTCTCGTAGTAATCAGGTGAGGTTACTTTTAACATCGTGTCTTCAGAGATATCGATACCCGATTCATTAAAAATGCTTACTATCTTATCTATCCAATTTACCTGTAAGAAATACTTTTGTCAATTAACGATTCACTGAAAACCATTAAAAATAAAATATTTACCATAGATTTCTGTGTACGTGGCTTTAAATTATCGTACCATTTTTGGAAGTCTGCCACAGTCATATTTACATAATCATTTACCATACTACTTATCTGTAAATTATTGTTATAATTTTAATCGGTGATAGAGTCCATAGTAAAGCAACTGTTTTTTAAACTAATGAAACCTTCAACAATTTCCATTCGAAATTAAATATATCTTCAATTTCCTCTTCTAACTGGCTGCTTGTTGTATTAAATCCTCCAGCCTCAGCTGTTTTCGAAATTATCTTCACAATGTACTTCCAATAACTAAAATCTCTTTTATCAGTGATTGTAAGTGTCACGTTGTCAGCTTCGGAAAATTCTTCGAGCATCCACGAATACGGTGGCATGTCGGGAACGTCTAACTAGAAATGTTCGAAGGAATTTGCAAAATTGTTACGTACGAACAGAATCGATTACTCACAACCACAGTCTCCTCTTTGGTATCACCATACGCCGTGACTCGGACATCATGCAACAAATTAGATCCCCTTAAATGAGCATAATAATCGTCGATATTCTGCCATTTTTGTTCACTGTCGTTCCACTTGTTTTTTCCTATTATTATCGGCCATCCACCGATTTCATTCAATATGAAGAGTATCGGTTCCATACCTCGTTTATTCATATCCTCTACGAGCAGTGGAAAATTATCGAACCGATACAATTTTCATGGATAATCTCTTTATAATGAAATTTAACAACATTTCCAATTGTTAAAGTATAATACGCTACAAAACCAGGGCAAAGTACCAGAACAGTCAAAATTAGCGATGTCTACTTTTTTATAGAACTTTTATGGATAATTATTATAACTTTCATGAAATCTTAACTTCTTCTAGATGTTTTATAACTTTACAAAATTTACAACAATTTCTACTTTGGATAGAAATTTTATAGCGTACAAGTCTTATGATTTCCCATTTTTTCCATAGAAATTTCATAAATTTACAAAACGTTAACATTTATGTATTTTGTATTTTTTATGCGTTTCTTCAATTAGCTTTCATTTCAATTTCTCTGGTATTTTATATTTAAGTCATCAGTATTAATTTCGAATTAATTATTGTCTATCGTGTAGTGGCCAATCGTTTATAAATTAGTAATTTAATTAGATCACTACCTGTGTTCATACAAGTTTTGTACCATTGTTTCGCAACCTTTACCGGTAAGGTTTCGTCGCCTCGCAGCTTCATCTTCATCATTTCTGCAAAATTCTGTTCGTCATCCCCAAAGGGAATTTACGGAACGGGTGAAACTTACCCTCGATTCTTTTTTTGTTCTCGTTGTCAGAAATGGCTCGCAATTGCCAGGAATTCTCTCCAAGTGGAAGCGAATGTATCGTTGGCCAGTTGCTGCATGCATATTCATAGAAGTCCACGCAGGGATCCGCGGATGCGTTCATGTTCGTTAGTATCCTCGTAGCTGTTTTATACGATCGTCAAAGAAAACGTTCCCTTATTATTTTCTCCCAGCTGTTTTCTATTTTGAATAAAACTTTACCGAATCTTTTACACTCCTCAGTTAAACACACGGAACGCCCATCGTTTGTTACATCGGTCGCTCTTGCATCGATGAAAATTATCAAAGAGGATCTGTATAACAACTGAGAATGATTTTGTCTGATTCTACATAATTGTCGTAATAGTGTAATTGAAATGAAATAATTTGAATAAAAAGGAAAATAAATTGAATTGTCACGTACAGGCAAATTTCAAGCAACATCGTCTGCGAAATAATACCGTTAATGTTCACGACAATACTAATTATCGAATCTGAATTTCCAGCGTTTATTACAGAGCCAAATAGCCGATAATAATTGTATATCACGGAGGCGTTATACGATATCTCTATTAATTGGTCACTCGAATGATTTTTGCATCGACATTTCCCCGTACATTTGTCGCCGTGCAATACGTTGCACACTCGCCAGACAGAATTTCGAAAATAATTTCTTCTCATTGTATTATCAGAAAATCAAATCATACAACGTATTTTATTTCTATCTATCGGTTGCCTCTAAAAAGATATTTCAGAAACGTTTAGCGCCTCTGTCAGCTTTTAAACGAAACATCGATTGTTAATATTGCGAATTGCTGATTAGGAGTAATAGTATCAGTATTTCCTGGCCAGTGACTCGAACATTTCTGCATATATCGCGACTGTAATGTTTCATTAGACTCTGTTTGCTTTGGTAATGTTCCACTGTCGTCGAAAATAATAAAGACATATTGTCCAATTACGAGAGGGAACATTCGTTATATTATTCGATCGATGTGTCGCCGCTAATAATTATCGCTCATCAGTATGTTCGACGGTGAAATATGGCATGGTAACCGTCGAACAATTCATTCGTTAAATCAACAAAAATTCTCACGTCGACGAGCAAGAACCTCTGATAAAGCCCGAGTGGAAATTTTCTCTCGTTTTCTCACGATGCAACAACGCGGTTGATAAACAGCTTTCTTTTTTGAGAAAATAACGAAAAAAGAGAGAGGGAGAGAGAGAGAGAGAGAGAGAGAGAGAGAAAGAAAGCGGACAAGCTGATAGGAAGCAAAGAACGGAATATCAAGTTGACGTCAGCCGAACGATTTAGCCAACGGTTTTTCAAACTGTTGCATTTATTTACATCAGTGATTGCAAAGAAATAATATACATACGAAGCATCGTTGTAAACGTTCTGGTATTTTTTCGTTTCTCGTCTCGTGTTTCCTCGCCTCTCTTTTTTAAAACGTATTTATGTTTCCTACGTTTTTACGCCACATTCGAACACCATGGGACTTCTCCTCGACCTCGTTTATTTTAATATTGCATCATCGAAAAAGGGCGCAATCTTAAGCTAATTAAATCGCTGGACAAATAGTACACATTTCTGTACTACAGTCGCTTAGTATACGTTTTCTTCGTTCATTTCGCTGTTTCTTATTTTATTTCGATCTTCGCATTGCTCTACAGAGTTCGAAGGGTCTACCACCGAACGCTGATATAACGACGATAACTCGCTAGTAGATAGAGTATGCATTCGTACATAGTAAGGCGTTATTGGACGATCGTTGATACAATCTTCTGACGATTTACGAGCACGTAGCTTGTCGCTTTACGTGTCTGGATATAAGATTTTGGAAACTTGATAAAAGAAAAATGATGTAAAAATAAGTAGAATAATTACGTCGTTGAAATGGGAGGGAAAAGCAAAGAGTGCATGGAATTAAAATAAACAGATGCAGAGTCGATTGAAATATTATAATTAATATTCAGAGGAGAAGGAAAAAGTGTTCGGTAAATAGTTGTGCTATAAAATTACGATAAAAGACTGAAAGGACAGGGAATTACAAAAAAGAAATATAAAATCAAATGAAACATTGATTCGTCTAGTTTTTATTATATTACCATATGGAGGAAACGAGACGAATATATGTTATAATTTAATATTAACGCAAATATTCAGAAAGAAACTTATTCATTGGAAAATCATATAAACGTTTAAACATATTAAGGATAAAATTAAAGGTGCAAAGAATTACACAAAGAGCGCGATCGATCGAAATATTAATGAAAATATCCAGAAGGAAAGAAAGAGGCATTTAATAAAAAATTTGATTAAAGCTAAAGCTGCAATGAATTATTAAAAATCACGACTGAGATATCAAAGAAATTGGAAAGAAGGAAGGAACCAATTATTCGATAAAACATTTTTTTTAAATCAACCAGCTTATAAAAAGTGTTCCCTTCTTCGAAGAAAACACAATTCAGATGTGTATGCACGATCGTGAAACATTAACAGAGCGTGGAAGGCGGTCTCTTCCGACGTGTCCCGCGCCAAATCGAAATCGTGAGCAATCGAACGCGACACGGAAGCGCAAAATTTCGATCACCTGCTACTCGAGAACAACGATGCGAACTAGCTGGCGCAAGCTGATCGACCTGGCCGCCTTTTTCTTTATCACCGATTCATTTAAATACCTTAGGGAAGGAAGATTATTTGCTATAGAAACGTCATAGTATTTACAACAGGACGACGTTAACGCGTCGTTCCGATTCACGAATTCAATGGAACATCAGTGGAAACTACGATACCATTTTTTTTTTACTTCTTTTTTCTTTTTTGATGAAGAGAAATCGACGATCTATTTTCATCGTCGATGGCCTAACTCTATGTTATCTTTAATCGATATCATTTTTTTTTTTTTGTTTTTTTTTTAAGACGATCTCAGAACGATTTTGTGAGCAGCAACGAAAGAAATGAACGTTTATACATATGTACGCGATAGTTGTTGCGTATACGTTATTCGTGACGCCAATATTTCGAACGATTCGAGCAATCAGGAGAAATTAATCGATTTTAATTACCTTTCCTCTCGACGTGCCTCGGTAAATATACGATAGTTCTAATTTACATAATATATCGATCACATAATAGATCGTTGACGTATCGTCTAATTAAATCACCAGCAATTTCTGTGGATCTAGGAATTACAGTAAATCGAATGAAATTTTCCTGTTTCATCGTACGTTAATCGTAAAGCATAAGTTACTAGACAATTCTATTCAGACGACGTTCCCTTCATTGAAATCTTGAAATAATCGATCGGAACTATCGTAAAGGCGTCAACTGGGTCACTGGTAATCCACCAATCCGAGATTTCAATCGCTCTCTCGTTTCTCCGCTTTTGATCCGCCCCATTCTGTTCGAAAGTATTTTGGCGGTCCTTCCAGTCGTTAATTAAACGTTAGTAGATAAAGTATCTTTATTTTATTGTTAGATATATCCGAGGAATACAGAGCTATTTCAAAGACGGGATTCTTCGCGTAAGATGCAGCGTTATATTAGAAACAGTCGTTTCGATGGAAACAGCCGTCGAATCGGCCACGCAAAATGTCTTTTAATTTCTAAAAATCGCGTCGTTGCACGGGAAACTCTCCCGGGCAACGTCGACTACGTGTAAATTTTGAACACATTCGCTGCTATGTATTTAAATATTACTTGTCCATTTCTGGAATTGCAAATTTTTCTTCATCGAAAGCGTCTTTATCTTGAGTAACAATTATTTCTTTATTCCGCGCTTTCTTCTAGTCTTTTTAGGTCATTCTATAACACGCGAAAGCTCAACAATTGCGCCAGTAGAGCCTTCTACTGTGAAATAATCAGAGCAACGTACCGTGTGCGTCGACGGGATCGCTAATCCTTAGATAATTAAATCGGCACACAATATACGTCAATAGCAGCGAAAGTGTTAGCCTCGATCAGCATCCAAATGGCCGATAAACTCGTCGTTCGAACGAAATCTTTCAGGGGACAAATTTCTACGGTATCTCTAAGGTTTGCCTAAGTACGATACGGCATTTGAACGTAGCATTTGAACTATTCCAAAGGAGAGAAAGGAATTAATAGTAACTGTTTTATGTATAAGATGATCGTTCATCATTCATCCATGCATCTGTTCAATTTCACTCACTCGCACATTGCTCATTCTCTTGTCGCGTTTCATTTTTCATCGAATTTAAATCCACTGTCAGCGAATTATCCTGGAACCACCGCAAAGTATCCTCTTGAAGGCTTGCCTGAACTCTGGTGAAAATACCGTGTATATCACAGGGTTCAGGGTGCTGTTGAAGTAGCCCAGCCACAGGAAGACGCTCGCTATTAGCTCCGGTGGCTCGCAGGCCTCGCACGTGGCACGAAGCAACGCGACCAAGAAGAAAGGCAACCAACACGCGACGAACGCCCCGGTGATTATCGCGAGCGTTTTCGCAGCTTTCCTCTCGCGTTTCGACTCGATCGTCTCGCGTGTTTTCTTGCTCGAGGAGGTCGAATGGCTGCTAGAAGGATTGGTGACGGTAGTCGTCGTGGTAGTCGTTGTCGTTGACACCGTTGACGGTGTGACGGTGGTCGACTGCGTCGCGTTCGCGCCGTTGTACGACGATGACTTCTCCGGCGAGATCGACGAATGGTCCGGCGTGGATCTTGTTATGGTGAACGCTGTTGATTCCTCCCTCGGTCTGAAATGTACGTCAGTTTTAATCAAGCTGCGATTAAAATTATTTTTGATCTCCTTAGGTGGATAGAGATATTTTATACTGTCATACAAAAGTACAGGGATGTTTCATCGTGTTTCATAGAACGTAAATTTCATTAGAAAATTAGCAATACGCCTGTGTTAATCGAATAAGAATTAATATCGATTCTGCAGTATTGGCTCGACAGAAATATTCTATGTTTGCCTAAAAGTATGTGGACATTTGGTTATTTGCGATAGACATTTGTAAATCATGTGGATTATTTGAATTTGGTAGGATTTCATCCTCTATTGGATCTGTCGCAAAGTATAAAATATAGTTAAATAATGATGCTAAATATTAACGAGCAATAAAAAGATTGGTATTTGCAAGTGTCAAACGTTATGGAGCAATTTTGTTGTTTTTAAAGAGTTGTCGATTCATTTGGTTGTCAAACTATACTTACTTAAAATGCATAAGATTCGTTCAAATTGATAGACTATAATCCTGGCAGTAATATTTAAAAAACCAATGATGCTTCGATAAATTATATATTTAATTTTAATATAAATATCGATAAGTCTTTCAATGAATTTGTATTTCGTGCGATGTATGGACACATTTCGAGATTAGTCGTTTGGTTTCTGAAAAATCCCACCCCATTCACTTTGTTCCATTACTAAAATTAGACAATATCCAGAAAATGGAATTTATCAGTTTAATATCTTAGTAGTTCAATGAATTTATCGATTCTCCAAGAAGATAGTAAATGTTTCCCTGGAATCCTAAGTTTTCCATTAATTCATACGTTTTGCTATCACGTTCAAGTATTTTTTATGCAAATAGACCAAAGCGTCCACACATTTATGAGCAACAGCGTACGTTTAACAAGATTTCTGCTAGAAATGCCACGTAATGCAACGTAACGTTAACAAGCTGTTACGTATAAGTATTCTCAGCGATTCAGCAACGTAATTAGTCTGTGGCGCGCAAGAAACCGGCCTCGTGAAAATCACGAATGGGGAAGGATAGTTAAGGCACGCCGCTAACGAGCCTCGCAACCGTGTATCTATTCAGATTCGTGGGGGAGAAGCGGAACCTTCTTGTGACGAGTCTAAGGATGCCTCTTCTTTCACGAGGTGGTTGCACGATAGTTCCTGGTCTCTTTCTGATTCGCTTTCGTGCCGCCTGAAATATCCTCCAGTACAGGAATAGAATAACGAGCAGCGGCAGGTAGAAAGTGGCGCACGTGGCAAAAATCTGCAAATATATTTAAGAAAATTTCACACAATCGAATCGTAAGTATTTCTTATATATATAGGAAAGGTCATACGTTTCTAAAAAAAAAAAAAAAAAGAAGAAATGATATCGTTATGCAATAACTGGCGAGTAATATCGTTACGTAACGAGTTTCAATTGAATGAATTTCAATTTCACAGGAAGATTACTCCGGTTAACAAACACTGGTGTTTGTCACAGTGAATATTTGCATTGGTCTTCGTGTATTTTTTTTCGCTGAATTCCAATCTGTGATCAGATTTTTTTCAATCACGCAGAGTTTTTATTATTTATGGAAGAGTAATTTTAGAATTCAATATGTTGTCAACCAATTCTATATCGAAACTTTCTTTTCATTTGATCCTTGTGTATAATATGTGTTTCTGTCGCCTTGCTCGATATTTCCTCGATATTTCCAACATATTTTCAAAAATATTTCGCTCCCTACAAAATAAACTTTTCATTTATTTTCTAAATAAACATCGTATCTATCATATTCTTCGACTATCTGGCAAATAGTCCTTCTTCCAGCATTTCATATTATACTCCTGTTTACCTAGCAAATGATATAAACGTCAGAAAATCAACAAAGATACACTTGTCGTATGTTTCGTGCGTGATTTTTATTTCTGTATTCAGCACAAAGACAATTGAACCTTATACGCGACGAAAAAAAATTAATTTGTAGACCGCTGTCACCAGATTCGATTTATAACGGATTAATAAAGGTGTAGAGATGTAATTTCGAAATAACTCGAGGAAGATTCTGATTTATCAAGGGGCAGGTACCTGGTATGCAGGGTCCTGCGACACGAGACACGTCCCATCCGCTATACGGTCCAAATAATCAGGATCCTTCCAGCCAAGTTGAGGCGCCAACGAGATTCCTAAGGACACCAACCAGACGGCGACGATCAACATACCGATCCGTCGTGGATTCCTTGCCTGAAAGTAAAGAAATTCTTTCACCGGCTATCACACTCGAGAATTGACGAGTCCTCGTAACTCGAGGATTCCCTTTTCTCTTCAAAATATTTTTATAATGATTCGTTCGAAATTAATATTCAGATCGAGGCCAAAGAAGACTGCATATCGATGATATTTGCAGGATTAAAATAGTAAAACCGTTTTCAAAGTGGCCTGAAACGTTTTCACCTCATTGGTTCGAGATAATCAGCTTAGTCGATTGCAACAGTATCACGCGATCATAAATCTCGGATTCCATAGCAGCAACTATCTCCAACATGCGATGGGATATCGTGGGATTCAGATTCGATTAGCTATTGACTGTTAGGGATAGAACGGTGGATTGATTACTAGATACGAGTAGGAAATTTCGATATATTCGTCGATTCTCAAACAGAATTTCCATGTAGAAATTTAACCCTCGGATAATAACGCGTGGATAACCTACGTAAGGTTGTTTTATCGCGCGCTATACCGACGATTATCATCTTATGGCACGGATAAACTAATTAAAATTCTAACTGTACGTTACCAAAACGATTGAAATTAAGATAAATTATACACAGATTAATTAAAAAAGATTCTGCGGCACGTTAAAAAATGCAAAAAATATATTCAATCTAATAGACAAGATAAGGAAAAATTGGTTGGTTGGTTTTGATCAAATATAAAAAATTCTTAATTGTTTGAAAATTGCGGTTCCACATCTAACTGGACGTTAGTCGGATATAACGACTCAAATTTCCAATTTCTCCGGAAATTTTACTATAAAAGAAATGACGAGTTATTTCACGATACGGCGCATGAAACAATGCAATGTTTTCGTGTAAAAACAGACTAAACATTCTATGAGCGTACATGCAATAATCCTACTAATTACATCCTCCGTTTTAATGATCTCTGGTCGTACAAAGGGAAGCAGGACACCGAGCTCGATTATCGAGTCGCATTCTACGATCAATATACACGAGCGTTTCCACGTCCCAGCATATCCTAATCTCCTTCTCGATACTGTCATCCCTCCGGGGTCCACGCGATCGTGACGTAAGTTCGTCATTCGTTACCGTTCTAGTCTCACGAACTACCTGCAGACCGCGACAGTGTTAATTAACCTGTATATAATTGAGATCGGTGACTGCCCAATATCTGTCGACCGCGATAGCCACCAGATGCAATATCGAGGCAGTGCAGCAGAGAACGTCGCTGCTGGTCCACATGTCGCAAAGCCCGGGCCCCAACGACCATCCCGCGTTTATCTGCAATAAACAGAATTATCTGTTAAAGGGGTATACGTCGATGTGTCGTCGTGATGTCGTTCGATCGATCACCACGTGAATGAGAATCCTAAGGGTCGGCCTGAACAAGTTCATTGTCACGTGTCATCGATATCGTACCATACGTATTATGTTTTATTCAAGCTGTGTTGTTTGAAGCATAAGTAGATTCATTATCATATGTAGACTGTACGCGTTTATGGAGATTCGTGTTCTTACGATATACATAATAAGAAACGAATGGATAACAATTTGTCTCACCCTTTAGATTAGAGTTTCTTAAATTATGGGACGCGGAAATTTTTTACAATCGCTATGCAAAATGTCAACTATCTGCCGTTAAAGGATTCAGGAAAATTTATCGAGTTATTAATCGACATTAAGTATAAAACACCAGCTTTTGAAGAAATCGTTTATATGGATTTTAATTCAGAAGTAGCACAGAATTCCCAGCAGTTTTTAAAATGGTCTTAAACACGCTTCTAACTTTTTATAGACATCTATTGCCTATACACATCGAGATTGAATTAGTGTGAACGAGAAATTTGTATAAATTAATCTTATTTCGAAGCCAACAGGCAAAAATTAATGAAATGTACGTATAAATACGTACAGTAAACTCGAAATATCGATTAACTATGAAAAACATCGTAGATGCTGTGACATGTGAAATATTTAGTCTAGATTTAATTCTTTATACAAGAATAAACAAGCACATTTGTCTCGTCAATATAAATAAATAAAAATAAATATTAAATATTAATATATGAAAATTTAATTTTATCCTAATCAGCGGCAATAAGTGATCGAATTATAAATGTAACAATGAATTATTTAAAATCCAACTTCTATCGCTTATTATTATTATATTAATGTTTTATTTGTATTTATTTTATGTACGGTTTTATGTACATAACCGATAAATTAGAGTTGCGTAAAATTTTCAGGGCCGAAACAGGGGTCACGAATGGAAAAGTTTCAAGAAGCGCAGCTGTAGAAGTTATGAATGGAGAAGGTGCTAGCGACATGAAATACTCACTTTGTTCTTTAATTAATTGTTAGGAAGACTGAGAACAGTTAGCGTATTGCAAATTCATAGGTACACTTTTTAGGTCATTTTTTTAATGACAGAAGGAAAAAAATTTTCAAACAATTTATTCAATTACTCGCACAATAACGATATGTAACGTTCTCGTCCCAGTCATAAAATATTTTCTAATATTAATATTCGGCAAACGATAAAAATGTACATGGAAGTGAAAGGATATGCTAACAAGGATATCTTCTTCACTTCAGGATTATTAAAACGTAGATTCTTTACCATTTTCCATGTGGTTGTTCAAAGTCTGCGACCGTAGATAAAATTTCTATTTGTTTCCTAGGTAGATGCGCGAGGAATTGATTTTTCGCTTTTATTACCGAGACGGAATCTCTTCTCTTTCGCTACGTCCCACCTAGCTAATCATCTGCTAGCTGCCTCCGTGTGCATTAGCCTGTTTCTCGAATAATATTCAAAACGAACGTAAAGTCATTAACGGAATGTCATTCCAGTTTTGCTGGAGCATCATCTCGTTGCATTTGATGGAGGAGTCTAATTACAACGTCTCTTATAGGAGAAAATATGTCTAACAAAAACAGAGAAGGATCTCGACGGCTTGAAATTGTAATATCAGTTTGCTGCGACGCGAAACTACAGTAATAACAGGCGACATAATGAAAATTACTGCAGTGGTGGACCCTCGGCTGCAGAAATTCTCAGCAACTACCGGGAAAACTCCGCGTAGAAGCAGCTATCGTAGTCTTCAATGGTACTTCATGGACATGAAAATTCTGCCGCTTTTATCGGTGACAAGCGCGAACTACGTTGAACGCTCATTTCCAATTTGCCACACGCGCAAACATTGAAACTGTCGATACTAAATAACACGCGTCTCGTTACAAACTTGAAAACTTTCCCTCAATTTCGTTATACCCGCTATTCGCCTTCCGCGTTGTATAAAAGTGCAAAAAGTTGCACGCGTGTCCGTTTTTCTTCGTATCCCATTCGACGAGAAAAAGAAGATAAAGAACAACGGGGGGAAAAAATACGGGGAAGAGCACCATTGCGAAAATACCAGCTTTAATGGTACATGTACGTTCCATGAACGTGGTTTCTAACCGAATACGCTAAATAAAACATTCAGACAGTTATATGTATATATTCGCGAGATTGGCGCAACGTGTTTATCTTGAATGTTTAAAAGCAATCATTAACACATAACCAACAGAGAGGCCGACATAAAATACGACCTACAGTGGTGTAGTCACGGCGCTTTCGATAAAAACGGCCCACGCGATTCATGCGTTTATTGTTGCTGATACCGTAAATGTGAAACGATGAGATTAAATGCATTTCAGTTATCGTGCGGTTTGATAAATCTAGTGCGAGCAACCTGGTAACCGGAAGCGATTTACATTCTTCAGATTCTTTACATTAGTTCTAGAGGGTGGTCGGTAACTGGCGGTACAAGCGGAAAGGGGGTGATTCTACGCGAAAAAAGAAGTCGAAAATATAGAATAAAAATTTTTCGTTCGAGGCTTTGTTTTCGAGAAAATCGACTTTGCATTTTCGCTCGGTACGCGTGCGGTTATAACAGATCTCTCTGTAGATCGTTGTCTCGATGGAAAAATTAAAAAAAAAAAATTAAAAAAAGAATTTAAAAAAAAATTTTTTTATTCTATATTTTCGACTTCTTTTTTCACGTACAATCACCGCCTTTCCGCTTGTACCACCAGTTACCAACCACCCTGTATATTTCTACACTTCCACATTTCTATCCTATTTCATATTTCCTATTCCTACATTTCTATTCAAAAATTTGTTTACTTACTATACCTTTCCTGATCCCCATTCTTCGGATATTTTTACTGATACTCCAAATTCATGCAAAACTTCTAAATATTAGTACTCCAACTCATTTATACGCTTGCCGAACAATTAGAACCTGAAACCTAGGCTGAAAATTACCATCGTCTTTACGCGGCGATATCTCCGGAACCGGAAGTTAATCGTTCACTCATTGATCAGAAGTTACTATCTTCAAAGTTACAGCGGTTCAAAGTTTTGCTAATTTCAATTCGGCTCAATCGACTTTCTGCATGAATTTTATGATAAATATGTTAATTTCTGTGGAAAGTTTGCTTACGACAAGTTTGTTAGCAGTGGAACGAAGATTCTAAATTGGTTTGGAATTTACTACATGTACTCTGCATAAAGTGAGTTGATTAATTTTGTTTATTGTTTATTCACGTTGATTGATATAGCAGTTTTATGAGTTATATTTACTTGTTGATTCAGGAATGAGACGACAGTAACTCTGTACGTGTACTGAACGTCTGGCGAGTTGCAAAAATTTACTCATAATGTTGCTGTTGTTAGTAGCGATCGCTCATTTCTCTGATGTTTCGTGTAAGCTCGTAACATGTGCTCGGGGAATTGCTTCTTCCTACTAGAAGACACGTATGCTTGAATGTATAGTTCTCGAAGTTATGAGTTTTGCCGACGCAGAGAACAAAGAATAGGAGGTAAATAAAAGGAAAAGCAGCGTACTTTATGAAGGACCCTTTGCGTTAGAAAAGAGCGAGGATCCTTTCTTTGCCTTCCCTTGTGTATCTCTCTTATACCTCGCATAAACGAGAACGAATAAAAATTTGTCGTCTCAACCTTCCTCCATTCTAGCTTTTTCCCCTCGTGAAACTTTCCATATTAAAAGAATCACGCAGTTAATTAAATGTTAATGAAAGTACGCGCGTTAACTCGTACGTAGGAGGAAGCTTATCTTAATAGGAAGAAGAAAGGAGCACAATTTTTCTAATCTTCTCCTAGCAGGAAATGTACATATCAAAACCTACGCGTAGAAAGTTAATTGAACGAAACTATCGTACTCCATGTCGATCAAAATTCTCTCGTATCGATGCAGTTTTGTTGTTCTTCGAGCGCGAATGTATCGAAAATTGATTCGATAAATATGCGTGGCTCGTTAATTACAAATATCGGATGACCCTCGTCCATGGTCTTTATATTCAGCGTCGTTCATTATCATGATGTTTAATAAACTATTAATAATTTATCACTATTTATTAATAATTTTCTAAAGTAATAAAAATGGCGATTGTGTCCGATATGAAAGCAAACCGGAGTGCGAGTTTTCTATTCAAAGGCGTTCGCGCACAGAAATCCTAAATCACGAGAAGGTGGAAAGAAAAACAAAGCTGATGCGAGTGGTAAAATAGGAGCGACGATTGATTTAATACGTTGTCCCATTTTTCGAATCCCTGAAGAGCGTTCGGTGTCGCTTACCGAGCGTGTTTCTAAATAAAGCTTCTTCCGCTTCTGTCAAAGTTGCAGAAGACAGCTTCCTTGGTTTGATAAAGTCGACATTTTTTTCATCCTCCTTTGTTCCTCTATTCGAGCATTTACGTAACGAAACGAGGCCACCGCTCTCTAATTTCCATTCGATTTGTTTCCGCCTTAAACCGCCGCGGAACACGTTTACAATTGTTGTTCGATTACGCAACCTGCTTATCGATCGATAAAAGCCTCTTAACTATTTGGTTTTGTGTGATTAACCGAATGAACTTAAAAATAAATTGCAGTAAGACATGGCTGTTTTATCGAGAAGGATACTCGAGGCCAGATAAGATAATGTGCTTTGTTATCTGTCAAATTTGGTTACCAACAATTTTCATGCGATCTATGTTTAAACTCGATATCGATAACGCGATACATAGAGTGAAATATATCATCTACTTATATCGGCAGTCATCGACGATCGTTGTTCTCTGCGATATTCAAATCATTTCCTCGTTTCCGATATTTTCTCTTGCTATATCTAAAGTACACGATGTTTTCTTACTCTTTCGTTAGTGTATTAAAAACTAACAGCGTCTTATAATACACAACAACACGAAGTTAATCTACACGAAGTTGTTTTTGTGGTTTT